GAATTGAATCCACTTTCTTCTCAGTTCCAGTCTAGTGCACTAAGCTTTAGCAGATCTGGCTTACCATGTGCTACAATGAGTGGAATGGACCTTGCCTTCAGAGTATGTACATGTGAACAGGCTGGCTATGGGAGGTCCAGGGTGGTTATTGTGCTGCTGGGGCACTCATAGGCAGATGATTTCTTTGCGGCATGGAAGTGTTGCCCAGATGTCATTATCAGCTGCCTTTTAGTGACATGTGGGTGGAGAGCCTCCTAAAGGTGTTGAGACACGTAGAGAAGGCCACTGAATATACTGTTGGTACAATGGTAATTTCCAGAGAGAATGGGAAAATCACTGTTCTTCCCAGTGTACCCTGCAAGTTGAAGGGTAGAAAACTGGAGGATTTTAGTAGAATGCAGGATCCTGCTAATGGATGTTATACTGCAGCTGAGGAACCCTTGCATCTCTCTTTCTCCCTTGCTCCTTTGTTGAGAGCCATTATATGCACCATTAGAAGATTTTTGACCTGTAAGCGCAGCAGATGCGGTGACAGAGGCCTCCATGCTGTGCTGAACCCATCCAGGCTCTCATTGATGTGTGTCTCAGGGCTGTTCTCTTCTGCTCTGTTGTGCAATAACACGTCAGAGCCTTCTGATGCTCCTGGCAGAATCTGTGCTACATTCTGGCTTGCCCAAGGAATGGTACTACTACTTTTTTATTCTTAATCTACCTCCACAGTCCTGTTGCATTACACATGATCCAAAGAGTGAATACTGAGACACTAAATTAATCAAAAACTTTGCATTAATTTGACTGGGGCTGAATATACTTCTGTTTGAAACAAGGTTTACAGGGCAAGAAGGTAAGTCTGCTATAGGAATAGGAATAGGGAAAGGAGTGAGTGAAGGGCATCTGTCCTTAACTGGAATTACCTCCTATCTGGTAGAAGAGGAAATTCTGGCTACCCACAGTCTTCTCGCAGAGGATTGGCTTGAAGAAGGGCAGCAAATAACTGAGCAGAAGTACTGCTGCTCCTTGGCAGACAGACTGGCCACAAGAGCTGATAAGGGAAAGTGTCTATCTTCAAAAGCAGCTGTGCAGTGGAGGAGCTAAGAGCCTCTTTCTCTGCAGTCACTCCAATTTAAAAAGCAAGGAGAGTATCTGTAAAAGCTGGTGATGTTGCTTTTCATCCTTTGGCTATAATAATCCTTTGGAGAGAAAATTGCCTAAAAACCAACCTGTATGCTTTACACCACTTTCACAGACAGCCAATCACATGACCCTGTGTCCACTCACCATGCTTTTCTACTTGATTTTGAGGCTATAAATGTAGGTGTTCAAAGCTGTGTTCTCTTCTTATTGATTTAAGAAGCATAGTCAGTGTGCTCAAAATGAGGAGCTTGTGTGAAAATACTGGTGGCTGCTTGTTTAGTTTAGATACAGCCTCCTGCTTTTGTTGCCAAAGAAGTTCTAGTGACAGTGTTGTATTGTGAAATTATGGATGTTTCGAGACTCACCATAGTGGGTGTATTGGGTCCTGCCAAGTGATGCCAAAGACAGGTATCTATAAGGGGAAAAAAAAAAAAAAGACTCTAGAGGCTATTGCAAAAATGGTGCTGTTTTCCAGTTCATGTTGAAATAGATGTCATGCCCAAACTATCCATCACTTTTAAATCTTGGATTTGGGATAGGGTGGCTGAGCCCAAGCAAGGGTCACAGTGCTGTCAGCTGCTGTGCAGCTGAGAGACTGAGCAGCTCCTCTGTTGTGGAAAAAGGATAATTTCCTGGCTGGTGTGAGAGGGTAGCCTGCAGATGGTCTACGAGAGGCAAACAGTTGATTGCAGCAGAGAAAAAGTGACACATCTGTTTTGTCTTCAGGTTGCTCAGGAATAGTAGCATCAGTGCCCTGTTGGAGCTCAAGGGCAGAGGGGTTTTCAGTCAGTTGGACGTTTCCTCTAAAAGTTCATTTTGGGTGTGTAATTGTTGCTGAAATGCACTTGGCACATGAAGCTGGATCTAAAAGTTGTCGATCCTGAAAACTCCAGGGCATTGCTGTCCTCATTTTCAGTACAGATTCTGCCTTAGAAGCAAACTACAGAGACACAGGAAAGAGATTTAAGGGTTCATGTTCCACAGTGATCCTGTTCCTTAGAGCCACTTCAGCACAGGCTGCTGCAGAATGTGCTGGTGTGGAAAAAGATTGGTTGCTCTTTTAGTATTGATATAGTGCATATCCTAATTAGGAACACTGCAACTTTTTTAGGAATGTGTGGTTTCCAAACAGTTGGTTAAATTTATCTGTATAGTGCACACAGTGTCTGTAAACCTGGTGGGTTAGTTCTTCTCACCAGGCTATGAGTGCAGCACTGAGTTTCCTCTTCATGTGAAGGCACGACCCTCTCCTTCCTAGTTCTTAGGGAAGGACCAGCACAGATCAGCTGTGAGTAGTGGGCTGTGATGCAGTGCAGTTCAGGTATAAAGATTTATTTCAAACTGTGGTAATCGCTTGTCTTCTTTCTAACTGGAGCGATTTCTTCACAGCAGCTGGGACAAATGTAGGAGCTGGTTTTGGGGTAGAACAGAACAAGTTCTCCTTTTATTGTTGTTGCCAATATAGAGCAGTGCAAGTACTTCAGAAATACTGCAATAGGCAGCTGTAGGGTGCTTTTCCTTGTCATTTGGTGAGTGCTTGTGCTCTAGACAAATACACTTGTTCTTTTAAAAATAGTGTCTCCCTATCGGGGACATCTTTCATGTTGACTGTGTTTGGATGTTCAGCGGCTTCTTGTCATGCTGTGCGATCACCTGCTACAAAGGCCGTTCAGCAGGGCTCTGTTGGGAGAGCAAGAGGCAAAGAAACGAACAAAAGACTTCACACCACTTGTTACAGGAAACCCAGAGCTCTGCTACTCTGCTTCCAGAAGCCCAAGGTGCTGTTTGTTAAACAGCACCACCTGGTCACAAGCTGTGGCTGTGTGGACTTGCGGGGCTGGGAGAGAGGTAAAGTCATGCTTGTAACTGAAATGGGGAGACAGCCGACGAGCTGCTGTGACAGAGATGCAGGGCAGCTGTCTGCAGTCCAAGGCACTGACTGCAGGAGACTCTACTTTTTTGCTGTGGAGGCTTGGTTACCTTGGCAACCTGTTTTTAGCTGGATCTCTGCTCCGGTGGAGAGCCCATCTGTACCTGCTACTTCTTTGTTTTGAAATAGCTATTTTACAGAAAAATAACTGACGGGAGTTATTTCCAGAGCTAGTGTATTGTGGAATCTGGTTTCTGCTTTTGGTCTCAGGAGTTTGTCTGATGATGGGGTGATAATGGTATGGGAAGTTCTGTGGCTGGATTGAATAGGTGTTAATATATCTGCTTCGTGGTGGGCTGCTGTTGTGGAAGGGAGAGATGTTGCTGATGGTTAAATCCTGGAAGAGCTCTGAAAGATAAATCACTCGCATGTCTGGAGTTTGCAGAGAACTTTGTTCGTTCTGGTTTGCAATTCAGCATCAGCCACTCGCTGGTAGATTAAACTGAGGTGATCCTGTCTGTGATGAGTAAATAGCCACCCTGGACCTGGGGGCTTCTGTTTTGGGGGGCATGTATAAGCGTTTGATACTCGTGGTAAACTTCTAATATTGGAAATCAGAGGTTACAGGACTGCATTCAGAATCTGACAATTTTGTTTGATTCAAGATCTGACCACTCTCTTCACATCTGTCTTTATACTGTAGGTTTTTTGGGTTTACCTTTTGTGAATACTTTCTAATCCTCAAGGGGGTGGGTATCTAAAATTTGCCCTTATCTCATTCCTGTTCCCTGTGTGTGTTCTCCTTCTCTTACACAGCCTGTACCTTTGGGCTGAAAGGAATGGTCTGTTCTGCATTTGCTGTGGAGTTCTCCCAAACCAGAACTGATTTTCTCACAAGTTACTGGGTAGTGTGTGACACTTGTGTAGTGATGGGGGAAAAAACAGATTAAGAAATTCTACTCATGCCTGTAAGAAATTGGAGTAATACCTGGTGTTGTTCTGCTAGATGCAGTTACCAATTAGTAGATAATAAAGAACTTTTTAAAAAAATGTGTATAGCACTCTATCTTGACTTTACAGGATGTCTAAAGTCAGATATTTCAAGTCTTGAAATCTGTTGACTTCAGAGCAGAGAGTACATTAAGAACCTGTTCTAGGCAGGCATCAGTTTTCAGTCCTGAGCAGCTATAATGCAGAAGAAAATAGTTTTCTCTTCTAAAAATTTCAGCTAGAAAAAAGAAGACAAAGAACTTTGCATTTTATTCAAGCACATGGAATGCGATTGTTTATTGTAAAGTCGGCTTGATTAAAGCATTTTTAGTGAGCCTTTTTGTTAATTACCACTCTTACTAACTGCTTTTGGGTGGTTACAGCAGGAGCTTTTGTTGTTTCATTATTTAAGATAGTGTGAACCAGATCTGTAGTCTCTACCGCACAGCCCCAGATAACTGACACAGTAAAGTACTACATTCTTCCTTTTACCAGTGCAGCAGCATTGACACAGAGCTACAGAAAAGCTGTGCTGTGGGGGTTTTGTTACTTTTTTTTAAAACTCTATGTATCAACAAGAGTGACAGTTTGGGGCTGACTATGCATACATCATGGTGGCGATATATGAAACAGAAACGAGACAGTCAGATTCTCCAACCTGAAAACTCACTCCAGGATCTAGCAGACAGAAAAAGCTCCATGAACTAAGCTAACAAAAGACTTTGCTTGAGCCTGAGCGGATTTGATTGGGAAGTCAGTGAAACAGAATAAAGGTGGAATGGTAAAATAGCTGTCACTTACCTGTCCAGCAGTGTATTTTAGCCACAAAAACCACCTCCAGCCCCTACAAGTAAATTGATAATTTCCAATAAATTCTGAGGATAATTTCTGCAGCTGGTGTTTAGGCTAGTTTACACCTGATAATGTAAATGCATCTGTATTTAAGTGACTTATTGAAAATGGCTTTGTTTTTTATATTATTTTAAAACTACTTCTTTTCTCCTAGCCTTGATCAACTTGTTAAAGTTCCTCATGTCTAATGAGACTGTGTTGCTGGCCAAGCACAACATCTTCACCCTTGCTCTTATGGTGAGTACACACAAATCCTCTTATTTTTAACAACCTAACAGTGAATGAATTTTAAGAAAGAATTATAATGCTGAAAGGATTCCAGAAAGGATTTCTGGCCTGTTAAGGAGATATGAGAAGATGGCCACAAAGCAGAGGGATATTATTGTGTTTGGTTTTGCTCGGTGTTTGGAAAGGGCAGTGCTTGGACTCCCTGTAGGGTCTGCTCACTGAAATAAAGAAGTCTATGTGAGGAAGGGCCTAATTTAATTTTCCAGATTTGACAATACTGTTTCTTCTTCTGTGTCCCTCTGTATGCAAAATAGAAACATGTTTTCCTAACCCCAGATAAAACAGTATTTAAGTGTCTTGTCTATCTCTTCTGTACTACAAGGAAAATAATAGATAAAGCAATGAAGTAGTGTAATACTGTCTGCTGCAATTGTGAGCTATTTCTTTGAAGGTTTGGGACATAGTTTGTATTGTTTCTGTTGCAGAATAGATTTGGGCTAAATGTTCTTGTAACTTCTTTTCACTTGTCTAGGTTGTGAACCTATTCAACATGTTCATCACTTATGGAGACACCTTCCTCCCCACTCCCAGCAGCTATGATGAGCTGTATTATGAAATCATTCGGATGCATCAGAATTTTGACAACCTTTATTCCATGGGTGAGTACCTCCTGACTTGTCAGGACTGCTGATGACTGGAAGTGAGGGTGGTGGAGGAGGGACATTTTTGTCTGGTGTTTTCAGTCCACCTACTTCTGATGTGTGCCCTACTGACTGGACGTGTTTTGTGTAGTAGGACATGTTTAGTAAATTAAGAATTGAGGAACTGAGAGGAGAATAAACTAGTTAAAGGGATAAGGGTTTTTTTAAGTCAGAAAAAAATAGAAACAGACTCCTTGCCTCTGTATCAGTCACTTACCGTGGTTGGAGATATAAATTTGTTGTCAAAACAGAGTATGTGGTATGTCATGCATTTTCCTGTAGTTTGCCTCTACTATATTCAGCAATTTCCAGTCATGCTGCCAAACCAGCCAATACAGAGAAACACTCAATGCAAATAAGAATTTGGAAGGGAATTGGAGAAACTTACAGCAAAAAGCTTGCAGTGCTAAGCAAATCACATCTACTGCACTCATTGCCAAAGCAACCAAGAAAACAACCCTCACAAACCTGCTTGCAGTGACAAGTGAATCAGTGGACTGAAGAATGTGCCCACTGGCAAAACAGGGAGAAACTGCCATCCTTCAAGGAGAGGCAGACATGCTGGAATGCTACCAAGTGACACCCAGCAGGGAAAAGACAAACAAAGAAGAGCAATGGATGCATGGAGCTTAACCAGGCAGCATATACGCAGGAGCCTGCGGCCCAGGGGAGCTGCAGCAGCACTGGTGTAGTGTCTGCATACTTGAAGCTATGAAGAAAAGGAATATAGCTGTGTTCTTTGTTTGCTTTATTCTAGAAAGACTTTTCCATTCACCCCCTGCTTCCTTCTCAGCGCGATCACCCAATGAAAACCAGCAGTTAATATAAGTAAAAAAGGGGAGTTAAAGGACAGACAATTGGCCACAACACTCTTCTGACATGGGGGAGAACCATGCTCACCCATATAAAAGTACCTGAATATCCCCTGTAACTGCAAGCAGAAATGAACTGCTCTTTTATATAAATTTTCTACAGTTTTCAGCCATTACATAAGAGATCACTTGGCCATTGTTATGCCCTCTGAGTGCATAAGATTTTTTGCTAACCCATTTCTTACTCCCAAGAATTGTAACTATTAAGATTTTTTCAAACCCATCTCCTGTGGAAACTGAAGGCAAGTGGATAGGAGAATAACACACTCATGTAGTTCCTTAGTTGGGTTGCAGAAGGCACACCTAACTTGTTGAAACAGTTTGTCACATGAATGTTTTCATCCTGCTACCTAGAGCAAACCCTTTTGAATTACTGTTGGAGATACCTGAAACCCTCTCTGAATATATTACTTCAGATATTCAAAAACAGTACCTACTGTTTGACAAAATAATGTTATTTGGAGATGACATCTTTTTTCTGCAGATGACGTGTAATGGTAGACTAGGAAGTGAGAAGGTAGCACTGTCTCCAGCTGATGAAAGCCACTAGGTGTCCTGACAGCTTCCTTTTGCTTGTCGGCCTGTCTCTGAGACTACAGTGACCCTTCTGTCCCTTGACCTTGGGGCATTTGTTAGCACAGATGAGAAAGCTACTCTGTCCTTTAGTTTTCTGTTAATGTGGTTGAAACTTTCTATTTTGGGAGTGGAGGTGGAATCTAATTGACTTGGGTTTTTTTCTTGTTTTGAAACTGAACTTTATCCAGATCTGCAGGACCGGAAGCTTCTCTACTGCAATTATAGGCATGAGTATGCAGACACTGTGCTTATGGATTCACTTGTAGCATCCATGTTTCTAGATGATCCTAAATTCAGATGATGAGCTGTTTGTTCTCTTCTGAGTTGATGGTGAACCATTCTTGTGGAATCTAATTTCCAGAAAACTCTGTATGTACAAATTCATAGAAAATTCCCTTTTATTCAGGCAATATGGAAATTAATCTGAACATCTGTTACAAGATCTGTTATTGTTTTGATGCATACCAAGAGATGTACAGGTAACTACCACCGTAGAAACACTGCGTATTTTGACCTAAATAAATATTTTTTTGTACTCTGGCAGAAAAGAATTGGATTCCCTAGAAGTTCTTCCTGTTGCAGAATGTTTTCAGATCTGCTCTTAAGTCTGTCAGAGGCCATCTGTGCAACAGAACACCAGTCTTGTTCCTACAGGGAGTGTTTTGTCCTAGGCTGGTGTGTAATTCCGCTTTGCAGTTCTGGATAAATTGAAATGTAAAGAATCCATCATTGCTGGAGAGAGTTCAGTCTTCAGGATGTAGTCGAGCTCCAATGGAATCTTGCATAAATGGGAGCTGGAGGACAACAGAATGTGGAATAATAGTTATTCAGACATGGGTCACTGCCCTGTTTCTGGGGGAAATGAACTGTATATGTGGTGATGAAAGCAGGACCTGGGTTCTTCTGTCCCCTCTGCTTCCTGTCTCAGAGTCATTATTTTGTTCTGTTCACCTCTTCTGTGTTCCTTATGTTGCTTAGATGGGCTTTGAAGGGAATATCTGCCCTGGATCACAGGTCGTCTTGAAGAAGACCTTTGTTTTGATGTGGTTCCTGGACTTCCATCTCGCCAAAGCAGATTTATTTTTTTTTCCTGTTTTAAATTAGAAAATTACCAGTCCTGTGCCAGCACTGTTAACTGTCTTCTCCTTTCAGTTCTAAGGCTGTCTACCAATGCTGGTCAGTGGAAAGAACCTGCAAGCAAGGTGACCCATGCATTAGTCAATATTAGGTAAGGAGTACAAGTTAGTAACCGTTTTGAAGATTGTGTCCTGTGCAACTACATTTTTATCATGATTCTTTCACATTTGTTTTAATAAGTTTGGGGTTGAATTTATTCTCTTTGTTGGGCTAAATTGTTCCTCTAAACAGGGCCTCCTGAGATAAAGAGATTATCACCAGGGTTTGATTGTCCTCTCTAATAATTCTCTCGGCTGTTCTGTTGACTGAGCGCTTTCAACACATGGCACAAACTGTAATGAATTAATCCTCACAGCATTTTTGTGAGAAATTTTACAGTAGGGAACAATTCTGTGCTGAAAGAGCAGTTGTTGACCTAATGGATTTCTGTAGCGTGATTCTATTGGAATTCCGTGAAGCTATGGAGGGGACTATAAGCCAGCTCTAACAAGCAGATTCGAGGCCTGTTAACATTGCAGGATTTTATGTGTGTTTAAAAGTGATTATTTAAGGACATTTCAGTGTTCTCTTAAACCTCTTTGTCCTGTTCAAGGGCAGAAGTTATGCTTTACTTGTAAGGCTAAAGAGTGTAAATCTAGGTGTGTACTCTTTCACAATGGCAATAATTTATTTTCCTGGCACCTGAAGCAGCTAGTACTGACCAAGCTGAGTACTGGGCAAGAGGATCATGGATCTGATTGATTGGAAAATGAATGAATGTTGAGAGAGAGTATTTACTGCTTGACTCTGGCTTGTAAACAAATCATAAAAGATATAAGTATTTATACTGAAAAAATATCTGTCCGTCACTTCCCTGGTTATCCCAGACACTTGGTGTCTGCACACCAAGAAGCTCAGTACTGTTGCATTGCTAGTGCTTGTCATTTCCCTCACTACAAAAGACATGGTGTAGGACATCTTACATGTCTGTAAATCACCTTAAAGGTTCCCTTAGTAAGCCTGTAAGCTTGGTAACATCACGTATGATTCCAGATTTATTTTAGTCCTATCCTTGTTTTTGTTTGGTTGGTTTTTTTTTAAACAGATGTAAATGAACTCTTGTGGGTAGATAATGCACTTGAAGTGAAGCAGCAGAACAGGTAGCTGTTGGCAAATTAATGTCACTTAATGTGACACAAAATGTCTGCCCTGGGAATTCTCTGTATACCCAGGGAGAGAAGTCTAAACTGGGAAGAGATTAAAAAAACAAGTGATCACAGAGGGTTTGCGCTCACCCCTGGTTTGTGAAACTAAGATTTTGTGGGGGCTTATTTCCTTTTGGCTTAACAACTGCTTATATGAAGATCAGCTTGCAACTGAGATAAGAAACAACCAAAAAATTGTCACTGTGATACCCCTCCCTGGACAGCCTGTATCAGACATGTCCAGATTACAGTTTTGTCTGGAACCAGTGAAGTCTCTAACATGTTTCTCTGATGGACTTTTGGTAGATTTCCCTTGCTCCACCCAACTGCTCGTCTGTATTGAAATTTCGTGAATGACTGCTTTTCATTCACTTAAATTTGAAAGGTCTAAATTAGAGATGATTCAAGGCCTAGAGAAGGATTAGAATTCAGAGAAGTCGGTCTGTTTGATTTATCCCATTTCCTTACTCTCAAAAAAAAAAAAAAAAAAAGGAGGGGGTGGGGGAGAATTTTGTCTTCTGATTTGTTTTCTTCTGATGGTAAAAATACTACATTTGATGGGTTCTTTAACTAAATAGATTTCAGAGCAGCCAGAAAAATCCAAAGGTACCGTGCTTTTGTGAAGGTGATTGACAGTGTGATGTTTCAAAGGGACTAGATCCTGGTTTAGCTCCTTGTTATCTGGATTTTCTGTTTGTTCATGCCCCTTTGTTTCCCCTTAGAGTGGTCTTAGCACACTGTGTCTTATTTGGATGCCTTTGCCATGAAGAGAATGAATTTAGAGAAATCCACTTCACATTGGATTTTTCCCTCACCTTGCTCCATTGTTCTGGAAAGTTTTTATGAGCAATGAATACCTGCTTGTTGTTGTAACTCTACAGTGCAAAGTCATGCTTTGGTTTATATCTCCATCTCATTATACAAGCTATTTAAAAAGAAATAAACCTTGTCATTTCCTTATCCTAAGGCTTTTAGTAGGTTTTATAAATGTAAAAGCATCTGCCTATGCATGCATGTGGTGGGCTTTAACAAGTGCCTTAAATCCTAGTGTACAATTTTATGTGTGTTTCTGCCAGGAGAGGAGTGGTGAGTGGCTGCAATGCATCTGTGTTACAGGAGTAACTCTTGAGGAGACACATAAAACAGTCCTGCTTGCACCCACAGTGCTGAGCTGGTGAGCTCGGCTGATTAATTGCTGTAATAGAGAGTCAGGATGAGTAATACTTAGAGAATCTTTGACGTGTTCTTGTTTAAACTCAGCCACAGAGAGAGATCTCGCTTTGTGTATCCTATTATGGTATGAGCACTACTTTTGACTTGGACCTTATTCTTCACTAGGCAGTCTGATTGAGTTTTGTTGCTGCTGATTATTTGATTTTTCTTGTTCTTATGTTCTTTGATTTCTCCAGTGAAAAGAGCAGTCACGAATAGTCTTTTTTAGTACCGAGAGATGGGGAGGCTATTCCTGCCTTCTCTTTTTTTATAGATAATTCATAATTTCTGTCCAACCTAAAGAAAATGAAATTTGAAGAAGACAGAATAATAATAGCCTTATCTATCTGAAAATCTTACATACCACACTGGAATGAGTGATTTCAATTGCTGTCCTATCTCATAATAGTCATTATAACTTCTGTCTGTGGATTTGTCTCTGGAGTTTTCATAGATAATTGAGATGTGATAGACTGCAAGATGTAGCTGCAGCACTGGTGGGGTTGAAATAGGAAGGTGCAGCAGTTGATGGTTTGAAAACTCACCTTCTCACCTATGAGGAAATAAACACATTTTGAGACAAGTTATTTTTTATTAAGCTAATGAGCCTCTTCAAGATAACATTGTGCAGGTTTGCATTTAATGAGAATTTTATTAACGCAAGGTTCAAAGGGGCATCTTGTGATTGTCTATTCAGTGAGAAGGGTAGCAGCTGAATCCCTGTGTTCTCTTGATCAGATTTTTCCAAGGTGAATAAATAGATTAACTCAATGATTACTTGACTGAATTTCTTCATTGTCTGAAATTCAATCCCATCATAATTTTTAAAGTAATTTTATTTTTCTCACTGAAACATTTTTAATAAGCAGAGAGTAAGTTTGTAGTATGGAACTAGATAGAGTTATTTTTTTTTTAAGGTGTTTTATGTGCTGTTTTAGCATATGCTGCAATCCTTGCTTGAGTGCTTTCATTCACTCTTCCATCTTGCAGCTACTTTTATTCCACTTGAGACACCGTGTGATGCTCTTTCTTTGAACAGGAGGTGCTGCTTCTCCCAGGGCTGCTTTTGGGGTTGTAAAGGAGAGACTGGAGATTTGGGAGGAGCACTTAAAACATCACATGGATATGTATAAAATGATTATGCTTGCTGCCAGTCTAGGCAGGAGCATTCTGAAGGAACCCTTGCAATTTTACCTAGGTGAAAGAAAGCCAAATCAGGCTGTGGTTGTTTCTTGTAGGACAACAGACATCCTGGCCCTGAAGCTATGGCTCATGATAAATTACCAGCACTCCACAGCACTGCCTTTATTGAAAACCTTGACAGGGAAAGAGGCTCCATTGCAGATATTTGCTAGAAAGTGAGCAGCTACAGGCAGTCCATGTAGTACCTTCAACATTGTTCCACCAAACTGCAAGGAATTTAGCATCTATTTATGGGGAGAGAAGAACCAAATGATGATAACCTAGTCGTGTTGCAATGGATGGCTCTAGTGTTTATGCAGGATATGTGAATGGGGACCTGCTGGTAGAGAAGAGCTTCAGTATGCAGTGATGACCTGTGGATTACAGTGAGCTGAAACTGTATAAGATATGTATTTATATATATACTTACACACACACTTTCTTCCTTCCCTCTCTATACAAGCGTAATGGACACACACATTTCTTGCCAATATGAGTAAGAGAGTGAAAAAGGGAGGGCAAGCTTAAAGGCTGTTTATGAAAAGAAATGGTCAAGAAAATATATGTGCATATATATAAAATATGGATATCTGTGTGTACATTATAGATATATGCACATATATGAATGTGTATATCCATATATGTATTATGGATATCTGTGTATATATAAAAACATATATTGACGTATTCACATGTATACACTTACAAATATATATATATTTATAGGTAGAACACACACAAAAACATACTGCCTTTGGCAATGCACTAAGCTGAAGCCGTAATCTCCAAGCTGAAAATACCAAGCACCTGCATGTTCCCATATTCTCCAAGATGAACCACAAGTATGGGCTAAGGATGCTCAGGTGTTGCTCCTTCCAGCAGCACGACTGCACTGGGTGTGTACCGTGATCCCCCGGGACTTGGGGGACTGTGTGGAAGTGCTGGTCTGGGCCAGCCAGTGCTGAGCAGCAGAGGGTGCTCAGGCATGCAGGTTAGCCCAGAGTGATCTGATTTCATTCCCTGGGATTCTTAAACCCACTTGTGAGGGCTGCCACTGGTGGAATAACAACTCCATTGAATTGTTCACTGAGGTGTGCTTAATGATAATGACCTCTGACATGCTGTCACTGCTAATCAGCCTGATTGAGCTCAGATCACAGAATAGCACAAGACAGTCAACAATTACTTTTCTTAATAAGAAGAAAGCAACAAAACCCAAAGAAAAAGGCAGAAATGTATTTTATTGGTACTTTTAAAGTCTAAAATAAGTTTGGTAGGATAAGGATCAAATTATTGCTAAAATGCTGTAAGCAAACTTCTGAGCTTTATGTATCCAAGCTATTTGAAGAATTAGTTCATTGCAGTTTTTGGGTGGTAGGCTGAAAAAATGATGATGCTGAAAAACTGAAAGTGGTTTCTAGATGAGGATTCTGGATTTGTTCTTTTTTAGTGATCTGTGATCAATCCTTATTGCACGAGCAAAACTAATAGACTCTTCTTGTCATTTCATGTG